CCACGCTCCTTCTCCCTCTCTCGCTATCTCTCTCGTACCTGTGTAGAGCTGCAGCGCGATCAGCTCCGCCTCCTGTAGCCCCGCCTTGATCGCCGTGTCCAGCCCCTTCAGCTCCTCCATCCCTCGGATCACCCGCGTCCCGTCCGACAGCCTCCGCCTCCTCTCCGGGTCTGTCACGTTGAGCCACTCCTCCTTGGCTGTCGTCGTGATGTTGTAGTTGCTCGTCGTGAACGCTTCCTCTGCGTCCTTGCCCTTGCAGTGCTCCTCCTCTATCGCCTTCATCAGCTCCGTCTGAGGTAGCCCGATCCGCTCCATCAGCCCCCCGTAGTACTCCTCGATCTTCCCGTACACGGCCTCGCGTACCTCCCCGCTGCCTGTACCGTCCGACTCATTCACCGCAAACTTGCTGTTGTGCGACGTCGGACTGTCTCCTCCCGCCCGCCCTCCTGCCTCCGCCGGCCTCCTCAGCGCCTCCTCGAGCCTCCTCCCTATCGCCGTCTGCCATAGAGCCGATAGAGCGCTCTCCGTCATCCCCTGTAGCCCCGCAAGAGGACTCGCCGCGCTCCCGCCGGGGATGCACTCCGCCATGACTCGGAGGATGTTGAGGTCGCCGAGGCTGCTGGCCTTGCGCTCGAGCTCCCACTCTCTTGCGACTCTGACCTCGTAGTCGTCGTACGAGAGCTTGTCAGGGCTGAGGGCCGACGCGTCGACGCCGAGAGCCATGCGGAGGTTGTTGAGAATCGTTTTGTATTCCTTTGAGTCTCGAGGGGTCTGAAAGAGCTTCTTGAGGTCAGAGCTGATGTCGTCGGGGATAGTCCAGCTGGTCGTCTGCTGGGCACTAGCTGGTGGATCAGCCGTGGGATGGCTAATTTGAGCGAGAGCGGAGGTGTGGGCGAGCAGCACTTCATTCTTGACTCTCAAGGTCAAGAGCTCACGCTCAAGCTCTAGGATCTCTCTCTGTACATCCTTCCCCATGCCGTACCAGACTAGCAGGAGGGGACAAGGCCCAACAGATCTCAACGCCTGTCACAAGCGTCATGTCATCGAGAGTTGCTCTGGGCTCTGCTCTCCTCATCTCTCGTTCTCTCTTAACTCTCCTGTTCCCGCTCCTCCTGTCGTTCTTCTCCCCTCTCCTCTCCCCTCCCCTCTTCTTTGCTTTGCTCTTTCGATTCTTCTCTTCTCTGCTGTTTTGTTCGCTTCCCTTCGCTTCCCTTTTTATTCATTCCTCTCCATTCATCTCCTCTCCTCTTCTCTCCTCTCCATTTTTCTCTTCTCTTCACTCCTTTGTTCTCTTCTCTCCACTTCTTTTGTTTCCCTTAACTTCTCTTGTGTTCTCTTCCCTTCCTTTCCCTTCCCTCTTCTGCTTTGCTCTCCTCTCTTCTCCTATTCTCTCCTATTCTTCTTTTGATTTCACCAAACTTCTCTTCTCTTCGCTACTCTTCTCTCCTTTTCTCTCTATTTCACTAAACTTCTCTCCTCTCCTCTCCTCTCCTCTCCTCTCCTCTCCTCTCCTCTCCTCATCTATCATCTCCTCTCCTTTTCGCTCCTCTCCTCCTCTCCTCTTTATTTCACTAAACTTCTCTCCTCTGTTCTCCTCTCCTATTCTCTCCTCTTCTATCCTATCCTCTTCTATCTTCTCCTCTCCTCTCCTCTCCTCTTCTCCTCTTCTCTTTCTCTCTGCAGCAGTTACAAGACATCTCTCACACACGAGCGACAAGACAAGCTTGTCGTCACCCTCCCTCAAGCTCCTTCCATCCTCTCTCCCTCTCTCCTCCCGCTCTCCCCTTCATCCTCCTGCCATGTTTCCCGCCCAACCACCCCTCTACATGGATCCCTACCCTAGTCGTATACCACCCTCTTCAATCCCATGGTTTCCGCCTATCAGGTACGGGTGAGCGACACCAGCCTACCCCACCTGTTGATGTATTTTGCACTGCCCTACCCCACCCCCAGAAGCCCCAGGTTTCCCCTAGTCAGCGTAAGGGGTGGACGCTGAATGAGCAACGGATCCGAGGCGGACTGCTGACGATGAAAACCGTTGAGAGGATTGACTAACTCAGTCATCTACTGCGAAGGTCGAGGGCCGTGTGGCCAAGAACCCGGACTGACTCTCCTCCTCGTCTCCACATCGCCATACCTCCCCGCCGTCTCACTGAGCCTCTTGCTCAGAGCAGCCTCGCGAGCCAGCCTACAAGCTCACTGCTCTATCTACACCGTCCGATCTGACTACACTGTGACCCCGGGCCGCCGGGCCCGGGCCCGGGGGTGCTGTATGAGCTCTGATAGTCTCGGCTGACTACCGGTACTCCTGAGCTCGATCCACCCTTGAGTCCAGGGGTCAGCTGGCGAGGGCCTCGGAGCAGACCTGGGAGGGGTCAAGACCAAGGGTTGTCAGCTGGAGGCTTCACCGAGGCTGCTCGTGTCACGGTCATGCGTCTAAGAGCGCTCGAGTGATCCCCTAGCAACAAGCTTCATCTCCATCCATGATGACTAGACGTCACTACAGCCCGGCCAGCTTCATGACCACATGCTCTCAGCTCCTCCGCCTCATCGCCCCCCCGTGAGCAAGACCTCTGGGTGTCTCTCAGCTCCTCCAGCACAACCCGACATGCAAGACAAGAGGCCTACTATAGTACTACTGCAGCCATATATCATTTGACTCATTTGACCAAATTGCCCACCTGACTTTTCCTTCTTGACTCAACTGAATTTAGGTTTGAAATAGACTAAAGTTAGTACCAAGAGACGTGGGGTTAACTGACCCGGCAACCAAAGAGAACGGCTACACTAGCCTATGTGACTGTTCTCCTCGTTACTGAATGTTGTGAGACGCAGTAGAGTGAAACGAACTCTGATCGATCAAACATTCAAGATCTTGAGTTATACATTGTGTGAGCGAGTGCTCAGTGACCCAAGGAGCAGTAATGAGATCAGAGCCGGGAGCAGCTGAGATCCTCTGATCAGCACACGATGACTCTTGGGACAAACGATGCTCGGCACGAACCAACTTGTCTCTTCGTCTCGGGTCGACGCGCGGCGTCAGGTAACCGATGACAGCGTCTCACACGGAAGAGTGGAAGAAGGTGTTGGTCCTCTTGTGTTAACTGAATACCTGTG